GAGTGATTTCTGAAGGATCATGTGACACTGAAGACTGATCCAGCTTTGACCACAGGAATAAATTACATTTTAAAATACATTAAACAAGTTATTTTAAATTGTAAACATCTTTCACAGTATTTTAGGTCAAATAAATGCACTTGTGAGCGGTACATTACAGCTAAGAGCTGTGAGAGAGCATCATTAACACACATCATTGTGTTTGGACTGCAGGTTCCCAGTGCCAGCGTGACCATCGAGGGCTGTCCCGCTCTGAACCGCGTGCGCTGGGCCGCCGGGGGCAAAGAGGTCGCAGTGGGAGACTCCGAGGGCCGCGTGTGGATATACGACGTTGGAGAGGTATGAATTATTTGTCAGTAATTAAAGGAGTAGTTCACTTTTAAAAAAAAACGTTTGCTGATAATTTACTCACCCCCATGTCATCCAAGATATCCATGTCTTTCTTTCTTCAATCGAAAAGAAATTAAGGTTTTTGATGAAAACATTCCAGGATTTTCTCCATATAATGGACTTCAATGTGGACCAAACAGTTCAAGGTCCAAAAGACAGTTTCAGTGCCTTTTCAAAGGTTTCAAAGACTATTCATTGTCTGGAATCATTTAAAGCCCTTCGAACAGTTTGCAGTGAAACTGTCTTTTGGACCTTGAACCGTTTGGTTCCCATTGAAGTCCATTAAATGGAGCAAATCCTGGAATGTTTTCATCAAAAACCTTAATTTCTTTTCGACTGAAGAAAGAAAGACATGGATATCTTGGGTGACATGGGGGTGAGTAAATTACCAGCAAAAGGTTTTTTTTAAAAGTGAACTACTCCTTTAAGAAGTATGACGTGTGAGATTACTGTTATTATTATTCTCTCAGGATTCTTTCCAAGCCCGAACATGGATGCGGAATGAACGTGAAGTTGAATCTCTCTGCAGAGTTTGGTCTGCAAGGATAGTTCGTTTTTGTTTGAATCTTTTTATTTTAAGGCCGTCTCCACATGAATGAGTCTCCGCCACAGAGCAGCAAAACCACGAGGACTCCCATGTTCACCATGTTGTTTTCGGGCTCCTCATGTGTGGGACAGCAGTGCTAATCTTAGCTCAGTGTATTGTGGTAATTGGAGAGTGCGTCGGTCGAGCATGTGGGCTCTTTGGGCTGATGATAATGGTGGGTCATCAATAAAATGAAGTGAGGGAAAGTTGAAGGGTTTCGGTGGAACGGGGACTTATTTACCAAAAGCCCTCGACATGGGCTCCTTCAGCAGAGGCCGTCACCAACATGAACACACCACTTCTGACGACTGCCAAGATCCCTTTGTGTTATATTTAGTAGACTGTTAAATATTTGCTTTGGATCACCACCGCATGTTTTCACCACGTTCGAGTCGATTTGCGTAAAGTTCAGATGTCATTTTGAAGTTAAAAAGGTTTTGTTCTTCAACCGCGGGGGGTTTTAAAGCTAGAAATATCCTGACTTTACACTCTTGCTTAGCTGTAGTTCTAGCAAACCATAGAAGAAGACAGTTCATGTGACTATCTGTCATAGTGCCTCTTGTGGCAAAGCGAAGAGTCGCGTTATGAATTCTGTTATACAGTATTTCATGGTGTTACTTTGCATTCATATTTTTGCGTAGGTTATGTTTCAAACCTGACCCTGTTACTGCAGTTCATAGATACAGTGATTTACTCTTTTCCAACTAGAATGAGGTAGTTTTAGGTTTTTAAATTTGTTTAAGAAACAAGCCCAATTTGACATCTCTTTAAAGTTGTTAACTTAATTTATTGTTAATGCATTAAGGAACAATGCACAATATATTTTATGTATTATAGCATTTATTAACGTGTTAATGTTAGTTGATAAAAAAATATATTTTCATGTTGGTTCACAACTAATAACAATTTCTTAGTAAATGTTGAGATTAACATTAACTAATATTAATAAATCCTGTTGAAGTATTGTTTAGTGTTCGTTCATGTAAACTACCACAGTTAACAAATGAAACCTTATTGTAAGGTGTTACCGAAAAAAAATAAATAACTGCTTCAATATTCAAATAACTTTACAGATTTTTTTTTTTAAGTTGACTTTTCATAGAAAAATTATAAGGATATCATAGAAAGCGAGACCATAATGGTGTTTAGTGTTAAAGGGTTAGTTCACCCAAAAATGAAAATTCTGTCAGTATTTACTCACCCTCATGTTGTTCCAACCCCGTAAAACCTTCGATCATCTTCGAAACATGAATTAAGATATTTTTGATGAAATCTGAGAGCTGGATCACTCCTGCATACTAGTCCATAGGCTTATTGAGGAATTGAAACTTGCCGTCCTCGAAAAGTTATTAAAGACATTGTTAAAATAGTCCAAGTGACTTCAGTGGCTCAATCTTAACTTTATCAAGTGACGAGAACACTTTTTGTGCGCAAAAACAAACAAAAATAACTACTTTATTTCAACTATTCACTTCCTTCTCTATGCGCCTGTAGTCAGTTAACGTAGTGTGATGACGTAGAGCTACGTCACATGTAGGCTCACAATTGGACAACGCTGGTCATGTGTGATGCGTGTGACGTACAATAACAGAAGCTTACGCTATTAAACTAGTAACCTGACTCGAGGCAGAGAGAGAAGGACATGAATAGTTGTTGTTTTTTGCGCACAAAAAGTGTTCTCATCGTTTGATAAACTTAAGATTGAGCCACTGTAGTCACTTGGACTATTTTAACGATGTATTTAATAACTTTTCGAGACCAGCAAGTTTCAATTCCTCAAGAAGCCTATGCACTAGTATGCAGGAGTGATCCAGCTCTCAGATTTCTTCAAAAATATCTTAATTTGTGTTGCGAAGATGAACGAAGGTCTTACGGGGTTGGAACAACATGAGGGTGAGTAAATACTGACAGAATTTTCATTTTTGGGTGAACTAACCCTTTAAGCTCAGTAAAATATCAGATATTTTTTCAACAAGGCAAGGTTATTTCAGTTCGCAAAATGTCCATGAAAACATATATATTTATATGATCGTACCGTATGTAATACTGTGTGTGTATATATATATATATATATATATATATACAGGGATGAAATCCCAGTCCTATAAGGTCATGTATTGATGAAGGCTTCTTAAGACCACCTGCTGTACTATAAAAGAGCTTGATTTGGCCTTTGGTTTGGAAGTGGCTGTCATCTCCTCCCACCTCTCTATTCCTGTTTAATTAAACCCTGTAGATCTCTCTCTCTCTCTCTCTCTCTATGCATGGGCGGCAGGCAGCCTTCCTTTCTCGTCTAAATCTGACTCTGACAGCAGAAAGCGATCCCACATCGTCACCCAGCCGGCCCATAGTCCCCATCTTCCCCTTCCTGAGAACTGACACGATAAATATTCAGCACTCAAAGGCCAAACAAGCAGCTTTATTGTTCTGTCTCTGAATCACAATGTGTGGTGATCTCTCTCCTCTCCCACACTGTGACAGCACATGTAATGCGTAGCTTTGCTCTTGATGTGGCGTTTTGGAGATGTGGGGGGTGTTTTTGGCACTGGATTTCTCAAACGTTCATCTGTTGCAGCTGGCCGTGCCCCACAGTGAGGACTGGACACACTTCGGACACACACTGATGGAGATCCGTGCCAACCGCGGGGATGGTGAGGAGGAGGGGCCTGGGGAACTGACCACATAAACACGGGATCAGCATCGTCACAAACCCAGACTGAGCCTGATGTAACACACAATTAGCATGTCCACTAGTGCTGTGCCGTTTACCGTTTATCCGAAGGGACCGTTTATCCAAATAATGAAAAATGTTGCATTGTTTACTAGGGCTGGGTAACAATACTGCACACCCTAACCCCCGAGCTCATTTCATTGCTCAGTCTTTCAAGAAATAGATCTAATTAGTTGATCTGATCGCAACTGTAAAAAAGCCGAATGCTACCAATGCTACACTGAGGTAAGGGTTAAAGTCTTAAAGATAGTCTTCTGAAATGGCTTCTCAAACAAGAAATGATGTAGGGCGGGACCTGTTTTTGTCCTTGATTGGATGGTTTTGGTTTGCTATTGCTGTGATCTCACGCGAGTGACATGTTCTCCCCCCTTGTGGCAGAAAACGTCCTCAGAAAAGAAAGAAAATGTGGCTTTAAGAAGTTATTTCAATTAAAGATTACGAGGGCACATGAATTAATAATAAAAAAGATGTACACAGGTACAATTTATCCTCCAATATTCCATAAAAATAAGTCAATTTGATTTAATTGTGACTTTAAGGGATAGTATTTGTTTCAATGCTGTGTTGGCAATGTACACTGTGATTACATTAAAATAAGAATCGGCTGGGGGGGCGGGGATTGTTCTTAAAGGGATAGTTCACACAAAAATGACAATTCTGCCATAATTTACTCACCCTCATGTTGTTCCAAATCTGTATGTTTCTTTCTTCTGAACCCAAAAGAAGATATTTTAAAGAATGTTGGTAACCAGACAGTTTACTGTAGTCATTGACCTCTATAGTATTTCAAGTCAATGGCTTCTGTCAAGTGTCTGGTTACCAACAATCTTTAAAATATATTTTGTGTTCAACAGAAGAAAGACACATTGGAGGGAGGGGGAGGGGCATAGAAATAAAGGTTTTCTGATTATTTTCTGGTAAATCTTAAAATACCAAGATCAATCTTTTACTCTTGTCTGTTTTCAGAGGCAGAATGTAGGCTATTTTGTTTAGCTGAACCAATTCAGTCAACTCACATTTATTTATTTATTACTTCTAGTTTCTCAAACCGCTTTTCAGCTCTACCGCTAAATTTGGACTGAAATATGATAGCAAAAAGGAATAAAATTGAATCGATCTTGCGAATCGCGTCATATAAATAATGAAAGTGAATAATGAACCAGTTTTATTATGGAAAAGAGCTGCATATTCTGCACAACAATGTCATACAAGTGTGGAATGACAGTTTTCATAATTAGGTGAACGATCCCTTTAATATTGTTGCTTATGGTAAAATAGTTTTTTTCTGTGAGCTTGTGTGCAGTTTTTGTTGTGTTTCGTCTCATTACCTTGATAGCATTTACTGCTAAATCAGTCCATAACATGTTTGAAAATGTGAATTTGAAATAACCTGCTGCTAGGAAGGCATTATCGACGTTGGTTGGTGGTTATTTCTAGTATACTTGAACAGTGTGTGTATATTTTTGTACTGAGCTCCCTGCATGAAGTATTGACAAATAAAGTCGTGTACGTTTAACTGTCATCAATAGTGGCTTTCTCATCAGTGTTATAGCAATGCAAACAGGTATTATGTGCTTGCTAAAAAAATTCACATTTTAGAAATGATGTTATTGAAAACCATAGGTGAGAAGTGTGTGGCTAAATGCAATGAGTATTGATTAATAAAACATTCTAAACCAGTTTTGCTTTGATCTTTTAATAAATATTTCTTACAATCAGTGCATCTATTGCTGCCATACTTATAGTAAGGCACAATCTTTACACACTTTGTACAATCAGCTCTACTGTACAGCTCAATATATATAATGTTCTCACCTCAATTTTCAATTAAAGAAATGCAGTACTAACATACAGTACATTATCTGTAAAAACCTTGGTCTCCGGACTATAAATCAACACTGCTTGTATATCCCCAAAACACGATTCAAACATAAATATGGAATATTATAATACATTCAAATGTGAGTGTCCACATCAGTAATGAAATGAACGCGAGTAGTATGTGATTACATAGTTTTATGGTAAAAGGAGAAAAGAAAATGTAAACAGTTACACATCTATCACTTAAAAAATAAATAAATAAATCTTTTAGTTTCTACGGGATATGCTAGTACTGTCAAAACTCAATTGACTTGAGTTCATTTTATAAATGAAATAAAAGGGGATCAAATTTAGTAAAACACAATGAATTGATTGGGAAAGTCATAACCATTTAATCATTTTGGAAGTTTGTTAAACGTAATTTTTCAGGTAAATAAATCAAAATAAAATAATCAAATGAAAAATTTACAATTCAAAAACCAAGTCCCACGACCATCCCAACTTTGGTAGATCGCCCCCATCTACTTTAAAGCTGTAATATGCATTAATATTCACATGAAACATCCTTTTCAGTTTTCCTGCTGAAGGTTTTATGAGATTCACGTGTTTGTTCCAGTGAAGGGTAGCGTCACCCTGTAGTGCAGGCGTTTGCCTCAAGCGTGGGGGGCGGCAGACGCTTGGAATCGTGGTAGATGCAGTCCAAATTTACTCTCGATGCCAGCAAACGTGGCCACGGCCAACCTGAAGCCACCGATGTGGTCAGGATTGGGCGCCGGGAGGCTGATCCGAGACTTGGGAGTAGGCTCTGCGCCAGCTGGTTTTCTGTGGTGAGGAGAGAGCGAGAGAGAAGATGGATGAGGAGGAGGAGCAAAGGCAGACTTCACATTCTGCCCTGTCCTGTCCTGTCAAACAAGAATAAACAGCCTGGCTGCATAGTGAAAACAAGAACAGTTCCCCCTCAAGTTATGGAACACAAAATAAATGAAAAGACCAGAACTGGTTTCTTGGTTTCCTTTAAACTAAACTAAACAAAACAAAAAAAAAATCCATTTAGGACACAAATCCTATTTTAGGATGTCGTCTTAACATTTTAGCTTGAATGAAGTCATAATCATGCAGTAGCTCAGTCAGTCTGTTAAAACACATAAACCAGACGTGAATATAAAAACAATTCTTTTGAATTTTTAATGGTCAGCATAACCAATAAAATGTTTATAGAAATATGATAAAGGAAAATCATCTTTTTATTAATTCTGTATTATGCATGCGCTATTCCTCTCAGATTCTCTATTTTAGCATAACTTGGTTCTGATTAAATATTCATATCTCTGATCAGATTATGGCAAATTATGTCATTGTATAATAACTGTACATGACTATCGCTCGTAGCAAGATTTTTCCTTTTATTAAATGAATGCTTTCATTCAACGAGGACACATTATATATATATATATATCGTAATAAAATATTTATGTTTCAGGGTTAACGCTGTTCTTTTGAAAAAATGTCACGGTTTCCATAAAAACATTAGGCAGCACATCGGTTTTCAACATTGGTAATAATCAGAAATGTTTCTTAAGTATCAAATCTTCTTGAAGGATCATGTGACACTGAAGACTGGAGTAATGATGCTGAAAAATTCAGCAAAAATATTTGATCAAATAAATGCAGATTTCTTTTAAAAACATCACTGACACTAAACTTTTAAACAGTAGTAGGACTGTAAGGTGGGGCTACTTTCATGTCTAAAGATGCATGTCTCAGCACCTTATTGGTTATTGCCAATATCATCCTTAAAAATAAAAATAAAATGTATATTAGCCAGTATTGGATATTTAATTGCTCATACTATGGGGAAGTCAATGGACAATCAACTGTTTGGTTACCCACATTCTTCAAAATATCTTCTTTTGTTCAACAGAAGAAATTCATACAGTTTTTGGAGCAACTTTAGGGTGAGTAAATCCCTTTGACGCCACTGTCCCTTTAAAAGCATTCCACAGGTATAGTGTTATTATTTTATTATATTTATAGTACTATTGGTCATCTGTTTACAGTCATAACATGCTAGAATTTCAGTATTAGCGCATCCTCACTTTTTCTTTTCACATAAAATAATGTCAACTCAAAGAACTGTTTCAGATATTTCAGCTACTTGACTGTATGATTGGTCCTAAAACAGTGTGTGCCTGAATGGAAAGGTTTTCGAGAAAAAGCATTTATTTTGTGTTCCATAACTTGAGGAAAAATTCTTGTTTTTACAATTCAGTCAGGCTGATTATCTCCAGTTAACATTTCGATATGACAACACATGTTTGCCCACTGAGCCACATGAATCAATATATAAACAGGTATAAAAACAAATCCACACATAGGTCTATATATATATATATGTACGATGTTCTTTTATATGTGCCTGTGGTTTCTGGCTTTCAGGACAGCAGAATGTTCCATGGGAAAATAAGGTCATTCTGTCCAGAACTGGAACAGACTCCAGTCGAAGCAATTCTCCCCACCTCAAATCACTTGGACACATGGAGCCATGTGGCTATAGAAGAGCATTTCTAGAAATGTCACCTCCAGGGTTTCGGTGAGTCAGCTGACCCTTTCTAAATCATAAAGCGAGGGTGTTTTCGCTTCAGCAGGAGAGATAAAGATGCCGCAAACAGCTTTCAAGTCCAGGCATTCGAAGCTTTCTCGAATAGCAATTATTAGGCCTCCCTGCCTCAGATGTAACAAAGTGGCCGTCGAAATGAGAGTCTTTGCTACAAAGCCAGCCCTCTCTAAACAGCTATTAATGAAATTTCAGGGCATCTGACATTTCAGTGCTCTTCAAATTCACACTGTGTGCCCCCGAGCTTTTGATCCTGATGGAAGAAAGTGTTACTATAACATTTTGAAAGTTTTAGGAAGTGTGAGAGTCTTACTGTCCACCGAAGTCTACGTAAAACCACCTCTGCAGCAGCTCATAGGTCACCAGCGTCACTCCGAACTGAGGCGAGGAGCGAAACACGCGTGCTGAGCAGGACAATAAACAAAATTACATTCATATGAAGCATCAGCAAGCAGTCTGAACAGATTCTACATTTCTTAAAAATGCTTGAGAAGAAGGTCCATACAATTATTAACACAAAATGTTCACCGTATTGTCAGTTCAGTCAGGACCACTTTGCCAAGTATATAAATGTATTGCAATTATAGCGTACAGTTAGTGTTGGCGGTATGGTTCTGTTCTGGGCAAAAACTCCAACACCTGTCCATGCTGGTTTGCCTGGACAGAGCGGGGAGAGCAGCAAGTCAAACTCCCCTGGGATACGGAACAGAACCAGTAAATGCATGCATATTGAAATACTCAATTACATGAGTTGTAAAAATACAAATACATGATTAAAGCTGCAAGCAGCATTTAGCGGGGTTCAAGCATTTAAGGCCTTTAAGTACTTAAGGCAATTTAGTGAGTTTTCATTTAGGTTTTATAGGCTTTTGAGTGTATTTTGTCACGCCCCTGTTCTAAATGACCCTGTTACACCCACCCAAATGCAAAAGTTCAACTTTTTTTGCCGAAAAACCAGGGACTAGTTTGCTAAAGTAGGTTTTGGAGAAAATTCGACATAGCAGAAAATATTTGCTGCCTAAATTGAAATTGCCGATATAATTTAGTCCTTCTTGAGCCAAGGATCAATCACAGTGATGTAAAAACCTTGATTAAGTCAAACGGTCTAGAAGTTATGAGAAATTTAGTACTTTTGGTTGCTGTAGTGCCAAGTATGGGCCAACTGGGGTCATACTCTGATTGGTTCTCCCCAAGTTGAGGCCTACTCATCTGGCCAGGTTTCAAGTCTCTAGCACTTACGGTTTGGTCTGCACGATCAGTTTTACAAATCCTTACAATTACAATAGGATTTCAGCACTTTGTACATGAACCCCTAATAAAGCTTTCAATGTATGACTGCACAGGAAAAAGCAACCAAAAAAATAAAAAAATAAAATAAAATTAAGGTTGGCTGCGAACTTGGCTGACGTGGCCTGCCTGAACTAACACGATGCTTGATATTAGCAAAAATCAATTGGGGGAAACAAATCTCAAATATTTGAATAATTGGACTGCAATACCCATTCCAACCACTAGTGGTCAATATTACATACTGCACCTTTACTATAAAAGGTCAACTAAAAAATCCTTTGGAGCAAAAAACAACATTAGCATGACTAGTTTCAGGTAAGTTGGCGAGATACACCTCCAGCTCCTTTCCAGAAGGCACGAGGACCCTCCTCCTGAAGAATCTTCCAGAAACAGTCAATGAGTCCATTGTACGTAGTCTGACCTGCACGGGCAGCCACTTGTAACCGGGTCTTGATAACATCAGCAGGGGTCACCAGGGATGCGGCAGGCATGCCTAAAGAAAAGTCACACATGTCAATGAAGAATCTGATTTGAATTCATTCGAAAACTAATAACTTGAATACATTTGACTCATATATCACATTAATATAATTTAATTCAGTTTTCAGGCCAGGATTATAACATTAGCGTATGTTAACTCTGCGACTCCATCTATGATTAATGCACAGCGTGCCATGAATTAGTTCCACCAAATAAATACAGAAAGCCTATTTGATCAAATATTATAAATATCTCAAGCAAAAAGCTATATTATTTCAGCATTATGCATTGTTTTTTTTATTTTCAGGTCCAGACAATGCTTAATAATGAGGCTGGCATAAGCCCTGTCCCACGCTGTCCAGCACAAAGGCCACTGTGGCACCAATTCAGCTCTTAATAGCCAAAATCAGAGTTAGCATTTAGTCTGAGCAGCCACACCGCCAGCACAGCGACTCCAACACATGTTCAAGAGCTTCATTTTAACATCGAAATAAAATACTTGCATCTGAATAATTACAGTCTTTTCTCTGCTGACCTGCTTTCATGGACAAGCCTTCGCTGGAGCACAAAGAGCATAAAAATGACTTACGGAAACTAAACTCAAATAATTTCAATAACCGAAAAACAAATTAACTTTGGTTTTGAATATACAGTATGATGAACCCTTTACCAACTAGACAGACATTTTTTAATCAAGCCATTTATAACAAAAATCTAAAGCTGAAACTATAAAACTAAAATAAATATCGTAGTGTTTATCGTAGTAAAAAATGACATCGAAATAAAAACGCAATGCATACATGCACTTCCACAAGAAGTAGAGGATAAAGCCAACTTCATTGGTCGATGCCCTAGAAGTCTGCCTTCCTCACCAATAATGGCGCACCAACTGAGCGTGTAATTAAATTTCCCGAACCGACTGTAAATCACTAATTGCCTTGAAGCTCGAATCGCTGATAAATGGTAGACCGAACGATACATGCCATAAGAACATACCTCGCCATAAAAAGTTGCTTTAAACCATCTGACAGATATAAAACATTGGGAAAGACAGGAATGCTAAGCTCTTTCTGACCATGCATGGCTTTTCAATCTCGTATCACGCTCACGTCAAGAAGCAGTAAATCTAAAAAGGATTAGAAATAAATATTAATTCTCTTTCACTTACATTCCAAACCATACTGGCTTGGCTAAAGACGTGGCCTTTTAAACAATGTTTTCTTAAAGACGAACCACAAGAGTAAAATATTAAAAACAACATCGGATCTGGATCGTATTTTACGTGCGACAAGGAAAAAGAGACTTGTAAAAATATTGCAAGTCAGATCTTGGATGTGTTGGCCTGGTCACGCCGGTATCGTAGGATCTGTTTATTGCTCCTGCAGTATGGCTACTTTGGGACTTTGAGATATTTTGTTCCTCTTTTAACACTCTCAAAGCTCAAAGCCCAAACTTCCAGCCCCTTTATATTAAACAGTGGAAAATATCCAACCCTTGGCAGGCGCGCTGCACTTCAAAACACAGCCTAAATCACTGAGCACTCTAATTACGGCCAACCACAATGGAGCCAGTGGTGGCAGGCGGCTACCGGAGAGTGTGTGGTGGCTTACCCGCCAGCGCCCCTGCCAGCAACAGCCTGCCAGGTCCCACTCGCCCGTCTCCGTCGCTCAGGGCCGCCTTGATGTGCGCGTAGCAGGGGAAGTAGATGGCCGAGAAGGGGATGTCTCTCAGGAAGCAGGCTTTTGCACCCTGGGGGCCAGAAAGATGGACACGTGACGTCAAGAGAGATACTGCTTTTTCATTCGGGGACCTCTAGTGTAGGTATTCTGGGAGTTCGGTTTATGGCGTGTTAATGTCAACCCTTCGGAATGAGTCTTTTCTGACTCGTCACTTCAAATAAACATTCACCATGCTGTTCTTGCTTGGAGACTATTCTTGCGTCTGTCACCGCAAACAAAGCCGTACCTTCAACGGGATTGGGTTTCCTCGTCTCCAGCGAGCTGGCGAGCAGCCAGGGGTGAAGAAACAGAGAGATTTTCCTCTCAGCAGAACGCTTTAAAGCCCGGCTGAAGTGCGCTTTAGACAGGCTTCATTAAACTCGCAAGGTTAATCTGCAGCGTGTACACAGGTAGCGCAGATAGCCGAGGTATCTCTTTCCTGAAGCGATCTTTGTGCTCTCCTGCGGGCCAGGGCAGAGTGCCTGCTGCGAAACCAGATCAAAATCATCCCCGTTGTCCGAAAGGCCAGGCCTGGCTCATCTGCTTCGGTGCCGGAGGTGAATGTTGTGTTAATGTGGGAACATCTGGATCCACTGGCCCTCAGTGTGCATGATAACTCGACAACACCACACTCGCAGGTGTGTGTGTGTTTGATATGAAGTGTGTGTGCTGAGGCTCTCGGTTTGGGAGTGTTGGTGGAGGCCCTGCAGTAGCAGAAGGGGAGAGGCGGGGTAATTAGGCTGACAAAGACAGCTCTGTGCCTGGGCCGGACCCTGAGGAGCCAGGCCGTCTGAGAGAAGCAGGCTGCAGCGCGTCTCCTGCACTCAAAGCACATTGTCCGCGCGGCTCAGGAGAGACACAGATGGAGGGGAGGCACCGGATTCGACATTCTTACACACACAGGCTGTTGTGTGCCGTAGTGACCCCCCTCCGACCATGACTCTGAAATAAAGGCTTCTTTCCCACGACAGGCTGACAGGTGAGCCCTGGAGACTTACCTGCCTCGGCCAGACAGGAGCGCAGGCTTTTTTCCAGTGACCGGCCATCTGATTTACTGATAAGTCGAGCACATTCTACTGTAATCTACTGACTCGTATCGAAAGTGTATGAGAGATATTGATACTTAAAGGGACAGTTCACCCAAAAATGAAAATCAGTCATCCTAGGTGTATATGGCATTCTTCTTTCAGACGAATACAATCGGACTTATATTAAATAGTCCTGGCTCTTCCAAGCTTTACTATGACAGTGAATGGCCGTTTCTGTTTTGAAGTCTATAAAAGTGCATCCATCCATGATTAAAGTACTCCACACGGCTCTGGGGGTTAATAAAGGCCTTATGAAGCGAAGTGATGCATTTGTGTAAGAAAAATATTCATATTATATTAATATGAATATTATATAAATATTCATATATTCAAACCTGTTACAAAGTTAAATTCTAGCTTCCGGGCAAACAAACTGTTTTTAACATTATTAATAAGACATGTTTCTAGAGCATCAAATCCTATTGGAATGATTTCTGAAGGATCATGTGGCACTAAAGATGTGGAAAATAAAAATTGTAATAATATTTCAAAATATTGTATGTATTGTATTTTTGATCAAATGAAAGCAGCTTTGGTGAGTATAAGAAACGGATTACACAAGCAAAGAAATCTAACTGAGCCCAAAATTTGTAACATTATATATATATATATATTAGGGCTGTCAAACGATTAATCGCGATTAATCGCATCCAAAATAAAAGTTTGTGTTTACATAATATATGTGGGTGTACTGTGTATAATTATTTTGTATATATATAAATAAATATACACACATGCATGTATATTTAAGAAAAATATATTATTTATAAGATATTTATATTTATAATATAAATGATATATAAATCTGTATACAGTATATACTGTACATGAAAATATTTCTTAAATATATACAAACATGTGTGTGTATTTATATATATAAAATAATTATACACAGTGCACCCACATATATTATGTAAACACAAACTTTTATTTTGGATTTGACAGCCCTAATATATATCTTTATTTTTGTTTTGTTTTTTCATTTAGCTGACGCTTTTATCCAAAGCGACTTACAATTGCTATATATGTCAGAGGCCGCACACCTCTGGGCCAACTAGGAGTTAAGTGTCTTGCTCAGGGACACATTGGTGTCTCGCAGTAGATTCGAACCCGGGTCTCTCACACCAAAGGCATGTGTCTTATCCACTGCGCCATCACCACCCCATGTATATAATCTAAGCAGAGCTACGGCCTAGCGGTAAGAATTTATTTAAGTTTTCCTCTTCTCCCTGTTATTTACAGTCCTCTCTACTGCCTCTTTAATAATTTTAAAAAAGTGAACACTACAGCATAAAACAACATCAAGCATCCACATATAATTAGCACCACACATAACACCTACGCAGAGGTGAACGCGCCTCATTAATCTCTCTCCAGCTGTCCATTAATGTCAGAGAACGCAGCCACTGGATGAGATATGACCCAACACCATCATGGCAGTCCCCACAATGCTGTTTACACCAAAACACTCGCTCTCCGCAACCTCCTGTGCTCCAAGCCTCAGGAATGCAGCCCTGCATCCCTGCTCAGATGCACTGGAGAGGTTCTCCGGCAGTGCTGCTGAGCCTCATGGGAAAACAGCACATAAAAGCAGCACTCAGGGAGCTGATCTGAGAGGCTGGTGCTACCTGGCCTGACTGCGACAGCGGCCCACAGGGGGTGGATTGAGTCATGGTGTGTGTCTGTGTGTGTGTGTGGAGACTTGCTGGAGAATGTGGAGCATGACTGAGGCACTCTGGGATATAAGAGGGAGTGCAGCGAGTGAATCCACAGGTGGGAGGTGCTAGAGAGCTGAGGATGCTCCTCTAGGTCTTTAGTGTGGTACAAAGTACAATATCTTCCAGATGTATTTGAGTAGATATTAAATATACAAACTTTTACATTTCAAAACAACAAAAAAACTACATACTAAATTTTTTTTTTAGACCAGTCTAAATAAATAATCAATAATTGAAAAGTTTAGGGTTGAAAAGATTCATGTTTTTGAAAAAGAAGTCTTATGCTCATCAAGGCTGAATTTATTCAGTAATTCAGTCATTTTCAAGTCAAATGTTTTTTAAAGCTACACTGTGTGATTTTTACCCCCATCTAGCGGTGAAAAGGTATATGACCATACAGTGAATATTAGTTTCTGTTCCTCTTATTTCCAATTTCGTTTCAACTCCTACGGTGGCCAGTGTAGTCCAAGATTAACATGGCTTCCAGTTCGACCTTGTCCATGAGTGTTAACTCAAACGTAAAGGCGAAGCTTGAATTAACGGGTATGTCCCTCTTTGGCTAATGTACTTTCAAGATGGAGGGGCAACATGGCCACCGACATTAGAACCCCTTTACACGTATGTATTTTCAATGGCATATTATACACTCACGAGAATACTTTATTACTTGAACAAAGTAAATATACATTAATGAGCACATATATTTTTAAAAGAACTAAGTGTTTTCAGCTAAGAATAAACTAAAAGAGTTACACAGTGTAGCTTTAATAAAATTCAGCATCATTACTCTTCTTCAGTCACATGATCCTTCTGAAATGTTTTGATGCTTCTTATTGTCAAAACCATGATCCATTATTTTCAGGATTCTTTGATTAAAGTCCAAAAGATAAATCTTTTGTAACCTTATAAATGTCTGTCACCTTTTATAAATATAAATAATAACCAATTAATGTAATTCAACCAAATGCTGACATTTCCTGTACATGAAACACTCCTGCGACATATTTCCCACTCATTTCTATTGTTTACTAAATAAGCAAAAGCATGTACCAGTGAAGTACATACCTCAAGCGCAAACTAGATGTGTTTGATGTATGAGAATTAGGTTTCAGGCTGTTTTGCGTGAGCGAGACATACCTTGTACAGGCCGAAGAACCCCAGGTCACGGATGACGGAGAGAGCGCTGACGCGTGGCCCTGTGGTGATTTCTCCCGCCACCTGCAGTCGGATCTTCACGATCTCCAGAGGGTTTGTGAAGATCACCTGAGATCCCCCAGCCTGAAGATCAACAACACAAGCATTCAGCTTTTCATAGAGCTTCATAGACAATGAGTGGAAAGTGTAAATGAGGGAGAGACAAAAATGATGTACAGGTCATCAGTCCCTCACTATTGTAAATACGTTCTGATGAACTCAAAGTGAAAAAACAAAAATGACAAGAGGGAAGTAATGTGATATTCTCATTGTAAGAGGACAATGCTTCAAGCTGGGCCCTGAGAACGATTGTGCCATTGTCACTCTTTGTAGGAGGAGGAGGTCGAACCTGCCAAAGACAGACGGTGCCTGAAACATCACACAGAACGCAGGCCCCTGGGGGCCTCTCAAAAAACAACCTCGCGTCTCCAACCTTGTACTTGCGAGGCAGATAAAAAGCCTCAGCAGGTTGGAACAGGTCCCTCCGAGTTCTTTGAAATGGTTCGAGTTTGACGTGACGGCATCTGAAGCTGCGACAGAAGCATTTAAGCGTGTCTCGCCAAAGAGGCAGTCCGCTTGCCGCCTCCGTGCCCTATCTTTCCTGTTGCTCATAGTTACTGAGGCTGCACACAGAAAAACAGAGCGGTGTAATTAGATGGAAATCAGTTTCCATGGATTTCTTCTCCTTCCCTCAGCCCTCCTTTTGAATACATAAGGGCCTTACTGTTTGTTTGTTGTTGATTTTATTCCTCCATTCTTTCAGAGATATTAACGTACGGGGCCGTCTTACGGGAATCTGGTAAATGAGTCTCTAATCTCACAAGTGCGCGCATTTAAAAATCCCACTGAGTACGAGGCAGCATATTTAAAAATAAAGATCATTATCATCTCATTGAAGGTGCTCTTTAAATAGGACGGAGCAGATTGACCCACACATCCCTTCCAGAGGAAATTACAGCTCGACATACAGAGAGAACTACCTACCTTTCACAACTCACAGCTACGACTTAATAGTTGGCACATTTCATGAATACAGTTTATTTTGGAGTCCAATTAATTTTTTAGATAAACTATTATCTAACATAAAATTAATCTAGCATGAAGACTAAAATAGGGACTTTTTTGTCTTGTCTCACCTCCGTTCTCTCGTCTCTGTTGTATCTTGAAATTGTTTAAATCAAATACATTTTCTCAATTTACTGTAAAGCAATTAAATGGTCAGAAAAAAACTGTTAATTTTACCAAAAACATTTTAGATACATATATACATTACATACATTATACATAGCATAATCACATATAAACAAGTCCCTATATATATATATATATATATATACACACACACACACACACACATATATATAGATATATTAGGGTTGTTAAACGATTAATCACATCCAAAACAAAAGTTTGTGTTTAAATAATATACGTGGGTGCACTGTGTATAATTATTTTATATACATAAATATATAAATACACACACATGCTTGTATATATTTAAGAAATATTTTCATTTATATACTGTATATAGATTTATATATAATTTATATTATATATAAATCTAAATATTTTATATATAAATAATATTTTTTTCTTAAATATACATGCATGTGTGTGTATTTATATATATATATACAAAATAATTATACACAGTGCACCCACATATATTATGTAAACACAAACTTTTGTTTTGGATGCGATTAATCGCGATTAATCGTTTGACAGCCCTAACACACACACACACACACACACATTTCCTTTCATTTGTGACACCCAACATTTGTAACGTTATTTGGATCGTTTCTACAGCAAAAAAAGCTAATTTAAACTATAATTAAATCATCCCACATCCCATATTTTTACACAACCGTAATGTTGAATGCATAAAGCTCACTTCTAAAACCCTGTTACCCAAATTATGCAAGTAAAAAACACCTTTTTTGTTTAATTTTGGGAAAAATAAAATTTCATTAAAAAATGCAACCCTGTTAAATTTTTATTATTGTGTTTATTGCTTAATTTCTCAGTCACAATCAACACTTCCTATAACTGAGAGAAAAAAAACTTAGTTACGAGTTCCACATTCGATCTTGTACTCTATTCATGGAAAATGCCACTTATTTATGTGGAAAGTAATCTTTTATGGTTAATTATGGCATCAGGGCTGAGAGAAAACTTGTTTTGGAAAGGAATAATACACTAAGGAGAGGGCCAGGTTATTAGCCGCATTAATTGGGTACTAAAAGGACATTTAAAAAAAGTTACACAAGCAACAAGCAAACAAGAACATCGGTTAGAGAAAGACAAAAGATCAATCACCTCTGGAGGAGAGGCCGTTTAAAGAGCGGGAAGCACGTGCTGCAACGTGACTGCAAGAAATGCGATGTGAGTGAGGCAGCGTCGGCTCGATAATTCGGTGGTAATTACAAGGCAAGGTAATCCCCAGAGGCACTGAGAGCGTGTGTGTGTACCGAATACACGCTCTACTGGCGAGAAGATCGCAGCTGAAGACAAATACTTACGCACACCAAGCGCGTCAGCACCACACACACACAAAACACTCCAGTCTTCTAAAAACAATAGCTCAGCTCCAGACACAAACATTAGCCTCCCCTCATTAATGCTCCCTCACATTCCTCACACTTAAACGGATTACACAAGCATTTTTGCGTAGAAATGAAAGCATTGCGATAAAAAAAAAAAAAGGTTTCGCAAATGATTAACAAACCGTTACAAATGCTGAGAAATACAGGACAAGCTAAATTACACAGCTCGCACTGCAAATGAACAAAGCGTCACTGTATGCGTGCCACGGTTTTCCCCTCGCTCTCTACGGCACTTTACGTTGGCTAAGCGAGTATTTTGAGAAACCCAGCCCTCAAATAAAGGCCAGCAACAACCAGATAAGAATCCAGCCAACTGCTCGGCCAGCGAAGCATGCAGTTCTTACCAAATGACCAACTCTTGGCAACTGTCAAGGGCCTAATTCAGGGGACGCAATGTGAGAAGAGAGGAGCTTAAAATGTAAAATCCCAGCAGTTTCATAACCCTCACCATCTCTTTCGTTTTCTGTGATTTCTACTCTCCTCCTTCAGACAGGAACATTCATGGTGCACAAATCAGCAGTCCAGTCTTTTCCCTCTCAAAACCAAATAAATATATTTGATTTGCCGCGGCTGCAGTGTCAATAAACGCGGCTTTGAGCGAGCGGCGCGTGTGCAGGCGTGAGAACGGGAGCGGATACCGCCAGGCCAAACACTGGGGATTCGGTCTGGGATGAATGGAGCTGTCAGAGAAATCAGAGGAGGAAAAACACATCTCCGTGGCACAAGCCGCCTTTCTGAGCCGACTTCATCTGCAACCAACCCGTTGTTTCCTAGGGCCATCTCTTTTCAAATCTCAGAGCAGAGATCGTGTGGGCTAAATGCACTCACATTGGTATAACCGAGACTCGCAATCATCTAAGAGTCGCTTTTAAAAGGAAACCCACGTATGTAGAAATGTTTTAGCGATCACTGTCATGTGAAAGAGGCTCTTTCAGAGTCCTGGGTCGGGGGAGACATGAAGACATAAAGGTCTGGTTTTGACAGGCCAAACAGGAAGGCTACTACTCTATGAAACCTGAACTTACGGAACACAGATCTGACAGCTAATGGAAACGATGTATTAATAACGTCAGTCGCTTCTAATGAAAAGGGTAAGTGATCCCCCCCTCATGCTGGGGAGGAACAACCGGCAGCCCCCGTGGGGCGGCAGACCGTGATTTAGAGGTGAGATGACAGACGAGAAGTGTTTTATACATGTTTTTAAACACTGATGGGGCTGAAGTGTCTTTTCAATCACCTCACAAAAGGAGTGAAGTGTTCCCTCAGGCCAAGGCTTAGACCTCAAAGTCCACTGACATTCAAAACTAAACTCCTCTTTGTCAGTGTACTGTTACTGCGTGATGTGTGGATTATATGTTGGTGTTTCAAAGCAAAGAGCAACTCACACATCCGCCGGCCAAGATTTCGAAAGGTAGAGGAACGCTGCCATCTTTTTGCATAGTCTTTCCTCTCACAAAGTCGTTCACCTGTGAAAAAACAAACAAACTGTAGCATCAGCTATAGTTTCTTCAAGGATTTGCATTGCAGACTCCATTTGCAAATTTTATCAGAATTCGAACGCCTCTTGCAAGTTGTTAGGGTTTTTATTTTAGCAAGGAATTATACAAAAAGTGGCTTAATTTAAATGGGCATGACTATCACTATAGTGTCTGGTCAGTGAAAACGAAGATTTTCATATTAAAGCCTTTTTTGTGCTACATAATAAAAAAATGAAAAAATGAAGAGATATAGTCACAATTCTAACAATTTGTCACAACGATATGATATATTGAAGTCATAATTGTAACATATAAAGTTAAAACTGTTATAATTGTGACGTTTTTTCAAAATTGCAAATTTTATATCTCAAAGTGGCAATTGTAAGTTATAAAGTCAACTTTGAGATAAGACTTTGAAATATCAAGTTGGAATTAAAAGTGGCAGCTGACAGCTGTGAGATGTAAAGTCATATGCGAGTTAAAAAATGGCAGTCAAAAATGTTATACAGTCACAATTCTGAGGTATAAAGTCGCTTCAGACATCTGAGAGATATAAAGTCAAACGTGAGATTAAAAGTTGCAATTTTGAGGTATCCGGTAAAAATATTTATATAAAGTCACAATTCTGAGATTTTAAAAAAATAGCAGCTGATAGCTGAGATATAAAGTCAAATGTGAGTTTAAAAAATGGCAATTTTGAGGTATCCAGTCAAAATTGTTATATAAAGTCACAATTCTGAGATATAAAGTCGCATCAGACATCTAAGAGATATAAAGTCAAATGTGAGATTAAAATTTTGAGCTATCCAGTAAACCAGTAAAAAATTTAAAGTCACAATTCAAAAAATAGCAGCAGACAGCTGAGAGATATAGTCAAATGTGAGATTAAAGGTTGTAATTTTGAGAAATCCAGTCAAAATGTTCATATAGTCACAATTATGAGATATAAAGTGGCATCTGACATCTGAGATATACAGTGAAATGTGAGATAAAAATTGCAATTTTGAGGTTTAGAGTAAATTTGTATATAAAATTGCAATTTTGAAGTATAAAGTCACAATTCTGAGATATAAAGTGACATCTGACATCTGAGATATACAGTGAAATGTGAGATAAAAATTGCAATTTTGAGGTTTCGAGTCTAAATTTTTATATAAACTTGCAATTTTGAAGTATAAAGTCACAATTCTGAGATATAAAGTGGCATCTGAGATATACAGTGAAATGTGAGATAAAAATTGCAATTTTGAGGTTTAGAGTCTAAATTTGTATATAAAATTGCAATTTTGAAGTATAAAGTCACAATTCTGAGATATAAAGTGGCATCTGACAGCTGTGAAAGTTGCAATTTCGAGATATAAAGTAACAATTTTGAGATATAAACTCGCAACTGAGATGTAAAGTTGTGACAATGTCATAAGTATAAAATACATAATCGCAATGCGAGATGCAAATTCACGACGGTGAGATAAAAAGTCACAGTTACGAGAAATAAAGTACAAGTGAGCCTGCTGATGCCCAACTCAAGAATGCACAAATGTTTTAACAGGGGATCAAACAGAAAACAGATTCACTTCTTTTTCAAGGGGCTAAGGCGAGGCACTGAAGTCAGGCAGCAGGCGGGCCGGCGAGAAACGAAGAGGGGTGTATTTCTGAGGAGTTAAGGGCTTTGGTTTTCGGAGGCCACGCTGATGTGGTGAGGGCAGAGCACTTACTGTAAGCTTTATGGCTTTCTCGGGAGCCACGCCCAGAAGCTGCGGTACGAGGCCTATAATTAGAAAACAAGTTGATTAAAAAAGACAGGGGTGAGGGAAGCACGACTTTCCTCAATATAAAAGCTGCAGCGCTGCCTCCAATTCTCTATCTTCCACGCACTAATGAACACTATTGATGTGGAGTGCTTAAATATTGGAAACTTAACAGTACTACAAACTCTATTTCCCTTTAAAAACAGCCTTAACCAAAGTTTACACAGCCCTAAATTACAACACAGATTTCTGGCTTAGACAAAAATAAACAGAATTATCTGATTTAAAAGTGATGACCCACCCCCGGCAGTAACAAACAAACTCAGTAACGTGGGCATACGGTTCGAGTCCAAATAGGCCACACAGCTAGATGAATACAAACATTTTCTGTGTGCATGGCCTACGGAGCGCATTTGTGTTTATATACAAGCAGCGAATTAGAAAATAAATATATTTTCAAACTTAATCATCCATCAAATATCCCGTAAACAGTCATTGTTCTCGCATGCTGCTCATTTCTTTGTGTTTGCCAGGATCATTGGCTGTTGTGTTGGGTTAGTAAACAATCAGTGTGACTTTTATTATGTGATGTATTAGCGAGCATGTTTATTACTGCCATGCATTACAGAATCTGAAAGCAGGAAAAAAATTAAATAAAAATCTTTTTACTTACAATAACTGTTCACCTTAAACATCAAGTTACTCAAAATTTCACATAAAGCTGTACTAAATGTACGCTAAACGTATTTTTTATGCATTTGCTAAAAGCCTGGTCTGCCCACTTCCTTGTTAAAAACTAAACTACAGTATTTATATGCAAAACAAAAGCACTTTGTGCGCACTTCAAATACAGTGCTCTGTGTCATACAGCACTGATACGCTGCTAAAACGAGCACTGAATGTTCGTACCATCCCGTTATAATTCTGTACGGGTGATGAAGATCTCAGCCTCTCTTTTGTCAGCTTTATGATTGACAAATACCAGTAGTTAGTGTTCTCAATGGAGGTCACATGGCAATTGCACCTTGCAATCACAATTTGAATCTGTGACCTCACAGAATGCTTTAAAAAAGTCCAGCTCTAAAAGCAGAGCAGATACTTATTATCTGAGCGCCATTGACTGCATAGAGCATTCATGTTCTTCATTGTTAAGTTCCTGTGCTGGTATGTGGCCTTTCATGCTCAGCACATTGTCCCCTCAAGCAGCAAAGGTAGACTTAATCTCTTCAAAGCAGGTAAGGTCAGAGGGAACGTGACCTGCCCCTGGCTTTCATGAAAATGTTTTTTGTTGGTGCGTCCCTGATGGCCTGGCCGTGCGGAGCCACTGACCTCTGTAGAGACCGAAGAAGCCCTCGTAGCGCACCACCTTCTTGAAGCAATCAATGCTGTTCTTATACATCAGCTCATCCACGAAGGATCCTGAAGAACGCTGGTTCTGCATGCGGGTCTTCACCAGGTCGATGGGGTACACGGCGGTGGCACCCACGGCTGTCGTGAGAGGAAATTTGTTTAAAACTACAAACGATATGGAAAAGCAAGATGCACACCCAAGGGGGCTGATGAAGGACACATCAAACAACAATTGAAAAGACCGGATGGGAAGAAAGTCAGGATATATTTGCAGAGCACATCAGTCAATTCTTATCTGCCAACTTTGGGGTGGACACAAAGGGAATACAGCACCGACAGCCTTAATTAAAGAGTGAGTCGCCCTGCACTACCTCCTTATTACCTTGTCTCCTCCGAGAGAGCCAGTCTGGAGCCAAACACAGGCCCAAGCACCACCTCCTTACTTACACACAGACCAAGACACACACACACACACACAACTCTGATCACTCACAGGTACAAAAGAATCCACCCAGGAGGTTCCCATGGTGCACAACCTCATTAAACGGGAGAAATAACTTCCTAAGAAGGCAATAGGGCAGGCTTTGTTTTTCTTTTTGTCCAGTGCAGCTATTTCTCGTGTGGAGGAGCGGTGGCTGCGGGCTCAGGTAAACGGGTGGTGCACAATGATCCGTGACTGACTCACCTCCAGCCACAGAGCCCAGGGTGAACCTGTACGCCGACTCAGAAGCCTGAAGCAGAACCGAGCGAGACGCGTCCCACA